ATAAACTGGCTGCATACAATAACATGGATAACTCTTAAAATGTAAGTTTGAGTGAAAGAAGCATGACAAAATATTTTGTCCAGTATGATTTCATTTCTATAAAGATGAAAAATAGATACAATTTTATATACCTATGTAACAAACCTGTGTGTTCTTGCACATGTATCCCAGAACTTAAAGTAAAATTAAAGTAATAAGGGAGCAAGGACAAGAGTGAACCTTTCATTTCAAATAAAGTTAGCTTCCATCACTAAAAAAAAAAAAAAAGAAATTTTAATATTTAGAAATTTGCATGTGGATAGTAAACCTATCAAGAAAATTGAAGGCCCGTTTCTTAAAATATTAGGATAAGTTATCTCTAAAGCACAGGAAGAGTTGCTGTTATAACTAGGAAGGGGTAGGTACATGGGGCACTGCAGGAATGTTGGCAGTATTCTGTTTTTAAATTTACCTGGATGGTGGCTATATGGGTGTTGCTCACCTGTTTATTAAACCTGTTTACTAATTGTTTATATATTTTTCTGTATATATATGTACACTGCATACTGTATGTTGTATTCCATCAAGAAGTATTTAAAATGCTACTTAGACCTCTTAGTGCCAAAAATATTCAAGTAGTAAAAAATAATATTTTGCAATGATTAGGTACTCAATAAATTTTCAAGTACTGTAGAATTGTGCATATATATGCACTATATAGAGTAAATATATATTTACTCTATAAATTAATTATATTTAAACATATAAATATATTTAAGATATAATTTTCCAATTATCAATATTTTTAAAATATACCCTAATCATTCTTACATTTATGTTTACTTTTAGTTACTTACCTCATATTCTTGGATGATGTTGACCCATACATAAAATCTAGTACTTTTAGTAAATGTAATTTAATTGAAAGGAAGGGAGACAAACTCAGTCTTCCCACCTGTCTCTCCCAGGTACCCTAAAAGTTACTGCACAATTGATTGCTATGCTTGAGCACCCAAAATTAGGGGAGCTGTATTATCACCACTGGAATTGGCATGCATTTATGTGTATGTGTGTTATAGTACAACCACTGATGGCTGTTCAAGGGTTATTCGTCTTTATTTTGTTTGCAAAAATTAATTTATACTGCAGTTTCTGCATTTTTACCTTTTCTTTTTCTTTAGTTAGAACGTTATTTTCTTTATATCCTGGAAATGCCTTATTACAATATCTATTCAATAAATGTTATTGAATGAATGTAAGTAACATAATTTAGCTTTATCTCAGAGTTTTAAACAGTCATAACATACCTAATTTTAAAAAGAAAATACATCTTTTTTTTTTTTTTTTTCCTAAAGACAGAGTATTTTGCTCTGTTGCCCAGGCTGGAGTGCTGTGGCATGATCTTAGCTCATTGCAACATCCGCCTCCCAAGTTCAAGTGATTCTCTTGTCTCAGCCATCTGAACAGCTGGGATTACAGGTGTGCATCACCACACCTGGCTAATTTTTATTTTATTTTATTTATTTATGATGACAAGTCTTGCTCTGTTGCCCAGGCTAGAGTGTGGTGGCATGATCTTGGCTTACTGCAACCTCTGCCTCCCGCGTTCAAGTGATTCTCCTGCCACAGCCTCCCAAGTAGCTGTGATTATAGGCACCTGCCATCATGCCCGGCTAATTTTTGTGTTTTTAGTAGAGACTGGGTTTCACCATGTTGGCCAGGTTGGTCTTGAACTCCTGACCTCAGGTGATCCACCCACCTCGGCCTCCCAAAGTGCTGGGATTACAGGCGTGAGCCACCATGCCTGGCCTAATTTTTGCATTTTTAGTAGAGATGGGGTTTTACCATGTTTGCCATGCTGGTCCCAAACTCCTGGCCTCAGATGATCTGCCTGCCCTGGCCTCCCAAATGCTGGGATTACAGGTGTGAGCCACTGTGCCTGGCTAAAAATACCTCGTTTTTTAGTCCTGTTTTATTTACATCTCAAAACTCTGTCAAAAGCAGTGTTGTGGCTGTTACAGTTGAGGGGGAAAGTAGAATTTTAAAGCCCTTGAACTCTTCTAATACCATAGAATTTGGGACCCAGGAAAGCTTACTTTTAGGATATGCAAGGAAAAGATATCTTTAATGAAATTGTCTTTCTTGGATTAGGACAAGTTTAAATTGGTTTTTCTGTTCATGTATTTACTCAGAAACTTAAATGGTATTGGAAATGAAAAAGAATGAGCCTTAAATGTACATTTTAGAAAGAAAAATGGTTTTGAGTTTCTACAGCCTCTCTCAGGCAGCACTTTATATTTTCTCATTCTTATTCTTTACCAGAATTTTCGAGTACAGTATGAAATAAAAATGTTCAGTGCCTTGCCTGAAATTACGTTAAGGTATAAATAGCTAGTTAAGTAAAAGAAAAAGTAATAGAAAATTTTCTTAAGATTCTTTCCTTTTAGTTTTGCTTTTCTCTGAATCATTTCATTGTAGACTTTTATCATTTCCTGCTAAGTTTTAATGCTATCTGTATGTCTTCTCCTTAGTCTCTAGCTTGTCTAAATTTGATTCTGTTATTGCCGCACAAATTATTCTCAAATTCCACTTTGGGCTGGGCACGGTGGCTCACACCTATAATCCTAGCACTTTGGGAAGCTGAGGCGTGCAGATCACAAGGTCAGGAGATCGAGACCATCCTGGCTAACACGGTGAAACCCTGTCTCTACTAAAAATACAAAAAATTAGCCGGGTGTGGTGGCACGTGCCTGTAGTCCCAGCTTCTCAGGTGGCTGAGGCAGGAGAATCACTTGAATCTGGGAGGTGGAGGTTGCAGTGAGCTGAGATTGAACCACTGCACTCCAGTCTGGGTGACAGAGTGAAACTCCATCTTAAAAAAAAAAAAAATCCACTTTGATCATATTATTCCCTTGTTCAGGATTCTGTTCAGGTTTTATCAAATTCAAGTTATTTTATGTTACATTGAGATCTTCTAATCTAACACCAGTCTTTTTTTGTTTGTTTGTTTGTTTTTGAGAAGGAGCCTCACTCTGTCACCCAGGCTAGAGTACAGTGGCACAATCTCGGTTCACTGCAATCTCAAGCTATTCTCCTGCCTCAGCCTCCCGGGTAGCTGGTATTACAGGCTCCCGCCACGCCGCCCAGCTAATTTTTGTATTTTTATTAGGAACGGGGTTTCACTATGTTGGCCAGGCTGGTCTTGAACTCCTGACCTCAGGTGATCCACCCGCCTCAGCCTTTCAAAGTTCTGGGATTGCAGACATGAGCTACTGCATCTGGCCCAATCTTTTATTTGGTATGGTTTTTCTCAGTCCATTTTCATGGTGACATGCCTTACCTGTTTGAGCTTTGTTGACCTATGCACTGTTATGATTTCTTATTTTCCTTTGTTCACACTTTCCTCACTACTTTGCTTACCTTTTCCTCTTGTCTTTATCTTACCTATTTCTAATCTTACTTTAGTGACTCATTCTAATTACTCCCTTACGTAGACCTCTTAGGTCTACGTAACATTTGCAGTTAATGCTTCCTTGTTTGGTTTCATATGAATTAATTTAATCTCCCCCATAATAAATTCTTTGAAGGCATCTTTATATCCTGTAACTGCCATAATGCAGGACTGGAAATAACCTTTGGTAGGTTGATTCCCAACCCCCCATTATTTACATTTAATATTTAAAACACTCAAAGAATATATATGTTACAAAGCATAATTATAAAATCCTTGTTAGTGCTTCTCTGCTTCCTTCTCCCTACCTGGAGGTTACCACTGTTGTACATTGTGGGTCTTACTTCCTTGCCTTCTTTTCTGAGACAGGATTTCACTGTGTCACCCAGGCTGGAGTGCAGTGGCAAAATTATAACTCACTGTAACCTCAATCTCCCAGGTTCATGTGATCCTTCTGCCCCAGCCTCCTGAATAGCTGAGACTATATGCACATGCTACCATACCTGGCTAATTTTTTTTGATTTTTAGTAGAGATGAAGTCTGGCTGTGTTGCCCAGGCTGGTCTTAAACTCCTGAGCTCAAGTGATCCTCCTGCCTCAGCCTTTCAAAGTGCTGAGATTACAAGTGTGAGCCATCATGCCTGGTCATCCTTGCCTGTTTAAAAGCAGTTTTTCACATATGTATCCCTAAAAAGTTCAGCTTTGAGGTACATAAAAATGGATTCATATAGCATGTAATTCTTTGGAACTTGCTTTTTCTTAATGACATATTTTTAAGATTGATGGATGTTGTTGCATTTGGCTGTACTTGATTCCTTTCACTGTGGTATTATATTTCATGGCATGAACATGGCCGGTTATCAAACTTGTACAGATATTTGGGTTGTTGGCAATTTTTTGCTAGTATAAGTGTTGCTTCAATGAACATTCTTAGGAATCTTCAGGTACACATGTGCAGAATTTGTCTACAGTTTGTTCTGATAGGTAGAATTTCTGTGCATGGGGATACAACTATTTTTCAGGCTAATGCTTTATTTTTTTCTGAAGCACTCTGCCCCATCAGCTGGGTCATTCATATGCTGACATCATAAAAGGGTCATTATATATTAAAATGTATAACTTATTTAAGTTTGAGGGAGATATATCTCACACAGCAGTGTGAAAACCCAACCATCATATTTATGAACCATAAAGGATCTCTGAAGTCCTTTTAGTTTAATATAATTTGTTTATGGTCTCCCATAAGGGCAGGTTTTTCTGTTTTGGCTCATTGCACATCTCCACCTAGAATTATACTTGACTCATAATAAGTTCTTGATACGTATTTGATGAGTGAATGAAATGCATTTCAAATGTATTATACCACTTTATACTTTCATCAACAGTAGACTTAATATTATCAGCCTTCTTAATTTTTTCCCTCAGTCTAATACCATGGTTTCCCAGTTTGGTCTTAATTTGTGTTTTCCTGATAATTGATAAGGTTGAGCAACTTTTTGGGTTTTTTAGTTTTTTGTTGTTGTTGTTGTTGTTGTTGTTTTATAAAAAGGTATTTTTATTTGCTGTGGTAGGTGGATGGAGAGCTAGAAGCTCTGATGGAAAATGGTGAGGGTCTCTCTGATAAAAACCAGGTGCTCAGCTTATGCCGGCTAATGGTTAGAATTGAAACTTTGGAGCAGAAACTTACCTGTCTGGAACTCATACAGGTGAACACTTTAATGTTTATTTTTTATTTCTGGTTTTGGAGTGGGAATGAATGAATGAAGATGAATGAAGAAGGAATAATTCTGATAAGAGTTAGTCTTATTTATTTGTTTGTTTGTTTGTTTGTTTAGATGGAGTCTTGTTATGTCATCCAGGCTGGAGTACAGTGGTGCAGTTTCAGTTCACTGCAACCTGTGTCTCCTGGGTGCAAGCAATTCTCCTGCCCCAGCGTCCTAAGTAGATGGGATTACAGGCACCAGCCACCACGTCCAGCTAATTTTTGTATTTTCTTATTAGAGATGGGATTTCACTGTGTTGGCCAGGCTGGTGTCGAAATCCTGACCTCAGATGATCCACCTGTCTCGTCCTCCCAAAATGCTGGGATTACAGGCGTGAGCCACCTTGGCCGGCCAATCTTATTTTTTAAATGGATGTGTGAGTTGTATATGACTTTCAAAGCTTGTACCATATTATTTAAAATGACTAAAGGGTTCAGTATCATTTTATCTATTAGTACAAGGATCCCTAATCCCCAGGCCATGGGCTGGTTAGGAACGGGGCCACACAGTAGGAGTTGAGTGAGCATTACTGCCTGAACTCCACCTGTTGTCAGATTAGCAGCGGCATTCGATTCTCATAGGAGCATGAACCCTATTGTCGACTGCACATGCGAGAGATCTAGGTTGTACACTCCTTATGAGAATCTAATGCCTGATGATTTGAGGTGGAACAGTTTCATCCTGAATCCATCCCCCACCCAGTTCGTTGAAAAATTATCTTCCATGAAACTGGTTCTTGGTTCCAAAAAGGTTGGGGACCATGGCATTAGTAGACCTGGTTTGCTTTCTGTCTATATTCAAAGAATGTGGTGGCGTTTTTTGTTTTTTTTTTTAAATGTAATAATTCATCACACTTGTCATAGCCTTTTACCCTCCAATTATTAGCATGCCAAAGCCATTTGTACTACATGATCTCAAAGCATGAAATTTTAACAGTACTCTTTTTTACACCAGTTTATTAAGTATGCCACAAGATGTTAGATAACACAAAATGATTTTTTTTTTAGGGTCTTGCTTTGTTGCCCAGGCTGGAACACAGTTGCACAATCATAGCTCACTGCAGCCTTGGAACTCCTGGGCTCAAGTGATCCTCCTGCCTCAGTTGCCTGGTAGCTAGGACTACAGGCACACACCACCACATCTAGCTAATTTTTATTTTTATATTTTTGTAGAGATAAGGTCTTGCTATTTTGCCCAGGCTGGTCTTGAACTCCTGGCCTCAACCAGTCTCTCCCTCTTCCACCTTCCAAATTGCTGGGATTATAGTCATAAGCCACGGTTTAAAAAAACCATGATGATTAAAAAACAAAACAGGAAAAAGAGGTCTTTTCAACAATCATCTGAAAGGGAGAGAAGAAAGAATTATTTAATGATTAATTTTTATGGTTTTGTTTTTATTTAAAAAGGTACATGCAATTTTTTCTTAGTTCAGAATTTTCATTATAAATGACTTATTAATATTTATGTAATTTTCTACGTTAGTAAAATCCCAGTTGACTGGCTATATTTTGTGTATCAGAGAAGATTATAATCTGTTTAAAGCATTTGTTGTAGAGTTCCATTTAGGCCAATGAAAACAGAGTTTCTAGGTTGTTTTTGTGAATGTAAGTGAACTCTATAGTGTGTAATATATACGTGAACTCTCCTCGGGCTCTTTGTAATATTCTGGTATTGCCTCCCAATACTCTACATCCTGTCTCCCTTCCCCCCTGAAAGAACACACACTCACAGTCCTGCCTGAAGTCCTTTCTGGAACGTCACGGGCTGTCTTTGTTGTGGATCTGGATGGCAGAGCTAGGTGACGGCCGGGAAAGTAACCAGAAGCTTCAGGAAGAGGTCAGTTCACATTTAGCTTGCTTGTTTCTTAAAACCACTATATTGATTGCCTAGGTTGTGGGTATGTGATAATATCAGTAATTATGAATTTAGCACTGTATCACTGGTATTAAATAATCAAATAATTTTTTCATCTCAGTATCATTCCTTTAACTATCTAACCGTACATTCACCTTGTTAGTAGTTTGTCCCATGGTTTTCCTATAGTATCTTTTTAAGGTTGATACTATATAACAGGGAACTACAAGAGCAAGATATAATCACAACAACAACATAGTTAAGTGAAAGATCCAGTTTGTTGTTAAAACCAGAGTTTTAAAAAGATGGGAAGTTATATAAAATTTGAACTGTGGGGCCTAAAGAATTGGTAAAGATCTGAATTCTGCATAACAAGAGTATGAACATTTTGAGGAATCTTTTAAATAAGTGTTTTAAAAGATCTAAGTAAAGGTTCATTGACAGCATTGTTAGTGGAGTAATGATATCTTTACCTTTCTATGAAATTAATAATATTTTCTAACTTTCTAATTTGTAATATAATCCCAAAGTCTTTTATTTAATAAAAGACTTTTAAAAACAAACAAAAAGGAATGGGCAGATAAGTACTTGTTCTTGCCTCCATCCTTCTCCCAGGAGATTTGACTTGAGGAAATTGAGGAAGCCTTGGGGTTTCTGTGGAACTACATTGAAGAATACTTCAGAAAAAATTCTTGGATTTCAGAATGGGTGAGGTTGTCTAAGAATGAGGAGAGGGTCTCTCTTTGCTAGATAGCTATTTATCAAAAGCTAAAGAATGTCTGCATTTTTGTGTGTATGACAGACATCATTTAAATATGTTATTACATAGCTCCCAAGTCTATATCGCAGGCACTTGGTGAACTTTTTAAGAAAAAATAACCCAGGATTGGTCCAGTAGTGTATATGTTTAAAAAGCTACCCAGGTTTAAGAACTACTGGTAGAGGATATTGATCAGTCCTATTTGATGTTGTGATGTTGCTCCACATTTTATTCTTGCTGATCAGTCTTATTAAAAGTTTTTCTTTCTTAAAGAAAGCAATATTATGATTTTTAAGTATGCTTGTGTTTACAGAGATGTAGGTCTTAGTAAAGCAGTAGCAAAACTGCACTACCCTTGCAGAAATAATCTGAGTCCCATCTAGAGATTGAAAAAGTCAGCTGTAGGCCGGGCGCTGTGGCTCACGCCTGTAATCCCAGCACTTTGGGAAGCTGAGGCGGGCAGATCATCTAAGGTCAGGAATTCAAGACCAGCCTGACCAACATGGAGAAACACCGTCTCTACTAAAAAAAAAAAAAAAAAGGCAAAAAAAATTAGCTGTGCATGTTGGTGTATCCCTGTAATCCCAGCTCCTTGGGAGGCTGAGACAGGAGAATCGCTTGAACCAGGGAGCCAGAGATTGCAGTGAGTCAAGATCACATCATTGCACCCCAGCTTGGGCAACAAGAGCGAAACTCTGTCTCAAAAAAAACAAAAACAAAAGCAAAGTCAACTGTAGCCAGGTGCAGTGGCTCATGCTGGTAATCCCAGCATTTTGGGAGGCCAAGGTGGGTGGATCACTTGAGGTCAGGAGTTTGAGACCAGCCTGGCCAACATGGTGAAACCCTGTCTCTACTAAAAATACAAAAGATTAGCCAGGTGTAGCGGCGAGCACCTGTACTCCCAGCTACTTGGTAGGCTGAGACAGGAGAATTGCTTGAACCCAGGAGGCGGAGGTTGCAGTGAGCCAAGATCATGCCATTGCATTCCAGCCTGGGCGACAGAGTGAGACTCTGTCTCCAAAAAAAAAAAAAAAAGTCAACTGTACAAAGTGATGTAATTTTTTTTTTATGTTTAATCAGATTATAAAGACTTTGGAACACTTGCCCATTCCTACTAAAAATATGTTGGAGGAAAGCAAAGTACTTCCAATTATTCAACGCTGGTCTCAGACTAAGACTGCTGTCCCTCCGTTGAGTGAAGGAGATGGGTATTCTAGTGAGAATACATCGCGTGCTCACACACCACTCAACACACCTGATCCTTCCACCAAGCTGAGCACAGAAGCTGACACAGACACTCCCAAGAAACTAATGTTTCGCAGACTGAAAATTATAAGTGAAAATAGCATGGACAGTGCAATCTCTGATGCAACCAGTGAGCTAGAAGGCAAAGATGGCAAAGAGGATCTTGATCAATTAGAAAATGTTCCTGTAGAGGAAGAGGAAGAGTTGCAGTCACAACAGCTACTACCACAACAGCTGCCTGAATGCAAAGTTGAGAGTGAAACCAACATAGAGGCTAGTAAGCTACCTACGTCTGAACCAGAAGCTGACACTGAAATAGAGCCCAAAGAGAGCAATGGCACAAAACTAGAAGAACCTATTAATGAAGAAACACCATCCCAAGATGAAGAAGAGGGTGTGTCTGATGTGGAGAGTGAAAGGAGCCAAGAACAGCCAGATAAAACAGTGGATATAAGTGATTTGGCCACCAAACTCCTGGACAGTTGGAAAGATCTAAAGGTAAGGAAGCATCTTTTGTTCATTTCAACTTGAATTACTCAGGTTTAGAGTTCTACAAAACTAAGCAAAATTAACTACTTTTTTAGCCATGCATATTTCTGAAAAATGGAATACTGTCTCTCTTACTGTGTGTCTCAAACATCCTCTAAACCGTGGCAAGAGTCGTATTAGCCAAACTAATATACAAATGTCTTCTTTTCTCTCACTTAGAAAAGTATATCATAATAGTGAGTTCAGTCATTTAAGTGCTCTTCACATTAAAAACAAAAATCATTTGAGTAGCAAACTTAGGATTCTATTTGTAATGAGAAAAAATTAGTGTTTAAATTTATTGGAAATCAGTTGTATTAATGGAAAATTAAATTGGAAAACTAAGGTAACTTAGCAGCTTATTAAAAATGATTGAATGTAAATTTGTATTTTAGAAAAACAACTTTATGGAACTAGTTGGTATTCACTTCTAATATTGTTTCTGAAATGGGCCTGCTTTTAAGTGCCTATTTCTTTGGACAAAAGAGGAAAAATAGATCTGGAATTCTTATGCCTATTATACACATAATCTCTTGTTGAAGAGTGTAGCAAGATGTGTGCAGGGTTTGCTTTGCAGAAAACCCAGACTGAGTCTTGGATAAACACTAGAATGAATAACAGGATAAACGTAGGAGAGGTATGGTACATTTCATTTGTAAGTGATCTGGACTTGGGATCCATGTCTTGAGCACCCTGTGGGAACAGGTTACTTACTAGCTTCTATTTTTCTGTTCCTCCTTTCTTCTGCCAGAGATGAAGCAACCAAATAAACCAACAATCTTGACTTATTTGCAGCAAGATGAACACCTGAATCCTCCCTGCCCCTAATTATGATGACAAAGCTCCCTCCATTAAATCCTGTATTTTGACCCAATGAAACTGGCCTTAAACACTGAGCAAAATGAGTAGTTGGTGGTTGTGTACTGTGCTTCCTCATTTGCTGTGTTGAGACCCTTCTTTAAGTATGTTGTGGTTTCAGCTCTTGTTTACCCATTTGAGCTCTTACTCATGTTACTTTCATCACTTACAATTCAGTATAAACTCAGCCTTACAGGCCTTTTTCTAAATATAAAAGGAAGGGTTCATGGTAAATCTACTTATGAAGTCAGTATGTGAACTGCAGGAATCAGAATTGCAGTTAATTGAAAGAAGTGTTGGGATAGTCACTTGATGGATTTTATTTAAGGCCTGCTTTGTGACAGCACAGGAGTCCCTAAAAGGAGTCCCTCTTGTGTTTGGAGGCTGCTAGTTGGAGCCTGTAAAGAAGCTCAATTAAGAAGGTGGAGATGAAGACAAGTACACAGATGGACACAAAAAAGGCCTTTACAGCTGTAGTTTTATGGAAGGAGAATAAGTAGGGTTATAGACCAGTAGTTTACTTTTGCTGGAGAAGTCTCTGGTTGACGTTATTTTTTAAAACTGCTAAGATGTAATCATTGTAAAGCTGTCTTAAAATCTGGAAAAAGTAAATATTCTTGTTTCTCTGTATGATAGTTGGTTTCTGTAATTGTAATGGTATGAATTACTCTCTAGGATATACTTAACCCAATTAGATGTAACCGTGGTAATTTAAACTCACACTCTGGACACACATTTGAGTCCTACAAAATTATTTCTTACCCTTTTTCTTATCTTCCCCACTGCTATCTGAAACATCAAAGCAATTTTATAATACTATGTAGCTTGATGATCCTCTTGATTTGAGGTTTAAAACTTTATTTGTACTTAAAATATATATTTCTTATCCTTCATACTTTGGATTTTTCCTGATTCTTAGTGTCAAGGGAGCCATTAAGTAAAATTCTTCTCTCTTCTTCAAACTTTAGTTTGCTCTGGAATCATTACCCATCTAGAATTGTGTTACTGAGAAATGTTTTTACTTGACTGTGAACTGTGATGTTTTGTTACACATTGGTGCTAGGGTTCTTAATTCATCCATCATTCTAATTAACATTTACTATGGCTCTGATTTCAAAACTCTGATTATGGTGGTTCTTAGAAAAACCAGACAAACATAGATAGCATTTAACCAGAAGTCTGAAATCAGGAATCCATAATTTGAACATGTTTTAGAGAAACACATTGACTTGATGTGATTACTATATATCTATACGATCCCGGCATTGAAAGAGTTAACTACTTCTGTCTGACTTCCACCTATGTGTTCGAGTAGACATTAACTGAAAAGAAAATGTCTTATTCAACCTACCTTTATTAGGCACCTATTGTCAAACACTGTGTTAGTTGCTGATCTTTAATTCCAAGATCATACTAAAAAGCATTGGTGTAAGATTGTGGTTATGTGGTTATGGCCATTTCAAGTCTCCCCGACCAACTGGGAGCCACCATAACATTGGCGGACATGTGTTTCGCTTGGCTTTTCTACACGCTGGATGGAGTGAAGAACAGAAAGGGATTGCTTCAGATTCCTTAATCTTGGTTTTGCTGTGATGGCAGACTATAGGAATCATCAGTAAATGAAAGAGGGTGGGAGGGAAGGGAATGAAGCTTCGTGAATTACTCTTTGTCCTCCCAGATCTGATGATGATCCCCCTTGTAACTTGAACCATTTCCATCTAGCTTCTCAGGGCAGCAAGGAGCTTGTTAACATCACCAGCTGACCATGTGTCTCCTTTTCTCAACTCCATTTCCAACTTCGTGCTGAAGAAAAACGAGAACCTAGCGTGCATTCTGTGAAGAAACAGGAAGATGGTTGGGAAGTTGGATGATGCATGAAAAATATAATAGGTGAAAAGAGGACAGAGGTGGTTAACTCACTGGCGCCGGCGTTATTTTGGTGCGTCCATTGCCGACAATGGATGTCGTTCCGGGAAAATCCCTACTGGCGAGAAAGGATTAAGTGAGCTACTTTTTCTATACCTATATACACAGGACCACTGCCTTGAGTCCACAAGGCTTACTACACATTTTGACTCCTAAAGTAGACCTCAACCAGAAACATCACCTAGCACATTGCCACTTGAGAGCATGTATTTGTTTTCATGTGAAAATTTACTAGGCTACATTTTCAGCAGGGATATGTGCATATATTTCTGTTTGCAAAAGAAATTGTTGCATATCACCCCTCATGCTGAAAATATACCCTAGACTTCATAGGGCAAAACAGCTGGTTACCAGTGGTGACTAAGTGTAACTTGACTGGAATGTCTTCATTCATTTGGATCATAAGAAGAGGAGGTAAGGTTCCTGTGAACTTGGCAATTTCAGTTGCCATTAAACACCAAGAGATTGTGATGGTTAGTGATTCCAGAGCCTCTCTTATAAACACTTAGATGATAGGATGTGCATCTCTCCTTAAAATGAAGTCTGGGTATTTCCATTTGCATCTGGATTTAGATGATTTAGGGACAAAATTACCTACATGTGATAAGTTGAACTCTTTCTAATGACTACTCTTATTCTTCTCTTATTTCATCTTTATCTCAAGACATTATCTTTAATTTAGCAAATCAAGTATTTCCCTAGAAAGCTACATATTAAAACTCTCTATGAAAAGTTAAAATAAAACATAGAGTTGCCTAAACTGAGAAGTTTTGAGGCACTGCTTGGATTTTCACTCCATCACTAATATTTTATGTGAAATCTGCTGTGCAACATTTGAACATGAAATTATGTGTCCTGGATTTCTGTGATAACTTTTGAATTCTTACTAGAGTAAGGTTATTCTGTATCCATAAAGATTAATATTACTTATCCTTTAACAAAATTACAATTGCCCCTAAAGAATGCTGTTTTAGCTACATCTACATTAAAATTTTTAAATAAATGTCTCGTTTGGTAAAAGGCAAAAATTTATTAGTGGTCCATTTTTTAAATAAATACTTTCATCTAAATCAAGGGTTGGCCAAATCTGCCCCACTGTTTGTTTTTGTAAATAAAATTTTCTTTGAAACACAGCCATGTTCATTCGTTTATGTATTATCATCTATGGCTGCTTTTGTACTACAGTGGTAGAGTTGAGTAGTTGTGACAGAGACTGGATGGCCCACAAACCCTAAAATATTTACTATCTTGTCCTTTACAGAAAAAGTTTGCCAACACCTGATCTAAAAGATAAAGTGCAGAATCTGGCTGCTCTAAACATTCTGGTTTTGAATGAAGTCATTTTCACTTTACTCTTTTGGGTGAGCTCTTAATTCTGTTTCCCTAAAAACATAATGATCATGTTTCTATTGCTGCCCATGAAATTAGTTTTTTAAAAGAAGTCTTGATGCTGTTTAGGAAGTGATTTGGATGTACAACTATCTTGAGAGGTGGGAGGGTGTATACGTTATAGAATTTCCAAGCTAGAAGTGATCATTAAGGAATATTGTTATTCCCTTAGGACTGTGACCAAGTCAGTCAGAAACTTGAGATTGTTTTAGTATAGATGTAGGTAGTATAAGTCTTATAGTAACCATAATGAAAACATACATTTTCCTTCTTGATATTTTAAACTTTTAATTATGATATAATTTCAGGCTTAATGAAAAACTGCAAGAATAATCTGTACATATTCTAGTGACAAGTCTAGAGAAAATTCATTGAAAAATTCCTCTAAACTTTTCACTGAGATTCCCCAGTGTTAACATTTTACCATAATTTTTTTTTATCGTTTTCTGTTTCTGAACTTTAAAAAAGTAAGTTACAGCAGAGGCGGTCAGATTGTTTGAGCCCAGGAATTCAAGACCAGCCTGGGCAACGTAGCAAAACCCCATCTCTACAAAAACTAAAAAATTAACCAGGCGTGGTGGCACGTGCCTGTAGTCCCAGCCACTTGGGAGGCTGAAGTGGGAGTACTGCTTGAGCCCAGGAGGTTGAGGCTGCAGTAATCCATGATGGTGCCACTGCACTCCAGCCTGGATGACAGAGTGAGACTTTGTCGGAAAAAAAAAGTAAAAGAAAACAACAAAACAACAACAAGTTATAGATATGATGCCCCTGGATATTGTGTATTTCCTAAAACCAAG